ATTTCCATCCTGTGCAAGTTGTAGAGGGTTCCAAGCACTGTGGCAGCTTTCTCCTTCATCATGGATCTGAAGTGCCCCTTGGTGGTGTGTGCCTGTACCTGGGCTTGAATTTCCTCAGCTCTCTCCAGCCCTCCTGCCTTGCTTCTCCTAGTCCCAGACAAAGTGCACATCAGCTCCACAGTGAGGGATGCCAGCTTTTCCTGTGGGTCACCCCACGTGGCATCAAGGTTGGAAGTGATGAGGGAGACACCAGTTCCAGTCCTTCCCCACTGGCTCCAGTTCTCCTCCTGGGTTTCAGTGTTGTCCCTCTCAACCATCCATCCGGCTGACCTCAGTGAATTCAGGCTCGACAATGGACATAAAAGAAACAGACTGCACTGCCTTGCGGCCCAGCTCCCACTCCATAAGAAATCCTTCATCTGTCTTACTCCGAGAATTCTCTGGTCAAGCTCTGGCCCATACAGTACCCACTGTACGCGATAGAGACACTTCTCTCCTCTGCATACGGAGTGGTACTGGTTATTTACCGTCCTTGAGAGGACTGAGGGAAGAGCAACTCAACTCACTTTCAGTCTTCTGCGGTTCCCATGAAAAATCTTGGTTGAAAAGGGCTATAGGTGATGGAAAAGTCAGTAGAGGGCTCTTGGAGGGGCTAACAGAATGCTAGTCAAGGAAGTCAGTGATGTCCCCAGAGAACAGGGAAGAGAATGGTCTGGAGGCACAAGAGGCCTATGGGTTCCACTTTAGGGTCTGGTGGGCTGTGGACTGTGGAAGAAAACTCAGGCAGGACTTGTATCTGTAAAGTGGAAGCTGTACCTAAGAGGGCCAGCCAGCTGGGCTCTCCCCTCCCCCGCCACACACACCCCAGCTTTATTGACATATAACCAACATATAACATTGTATACTTTTAAAGTATACAATGCAACAATTTGATAAACATATTGTGCAATATGTTACCACCATAAGAGAAGTTAACACAACCTTCACCTCATATAATTACCATTTGGTTGCTATTATTATGGTGAGAAGATAAACGCTTTATTTTTATAGTAACTTTCAAGTATTTAACATGGAATTATTAAATACAGTCACCACGCTGGCCCTTATATCCCCAGAAGTTACTCAGCCTATAACTGAGAATTTACCCTCTTTGACCAACGTCTCCCCATTTCTCCAACGCTCAGTTCCTGGCAACTACCATTCTACTATTCCTATATATCTGTTTTTTTAAGACTCTACGTACAAGTGACATCATACAGTATTTGTCTTTCTCTGTCTGACTTACTTCACTTGGCATAATGCCTTCAGAGGCTATCTATGTTGACACAAATGGCAAGATCCCCTTCTTTTTGTAGCTGCGTAATATTCCGTTATATACATATGCACATATATGTGTGTATATATATATATGTATATAGACACATATATATACACATATATGTATATATATACACACATATATGTGCATATGTATATAACGGAATATTACGCAGCTACAAAAACAAATATACATATATATGTACATATACATAAACATATATATGTACATAATGTGTGTGTATATATATAAAACCCTCAGAGATAGAGATAGACAGATCGAATTTATATATATATGTTATATATATATATATATATATATATATATATATATATATATATATGAAATCACATTTTCTTTATCCATCTTTTGTCCAATGATGGCTACTTAGGTCCTTTTCATACCTTGGCTGTTGTGAATAATCCTGCAATGGACAAGGGGTGCAGGTATCTCTTTGAGATACTGATTTTATTTATTTTGGATATATGCCCAGAAGTAAGATTGCTGCATCATAGGGTAATTCTACTTTTAATTTTCTGAGGAACCTCCATACAGTTTTCCACATTGGTTGCACCCATTTATATTCCCATCATCAGTGCACTAGGGCTCCCTTTTGTCATCTTTGCCAGCATCTGTTACCTCTTGTTTTTTTGATGATAGCCATCCTAACCCGAGTGAGGTGAGATTTCACTGTGGTTTTAATTTGCTTTTCCCTGATCATGAGTGATGTTGACTGCCTTTTCTTTTTTTTTTCTTTCTTTTTTTTATTTATTTGACACAGAGAGAGAGAGATCACAAGTAGGCAGAGAGGCAGGCGGGGGTGAGGGTGGGGGTGGGGGAGGCAGGCTCCCTGTCGAGCAGAGAGCCCGATGCAGGACTCGATCCCAGGACCCTGAGATCAGGACCTGAGCCGAAGTCAGGGGTTAACCCTCTGAGGCACCCAGGTGCCCTGTTGACTGCCTTTTCATGTATTTGTTGGCCCTTTGTATATCTTCTTTGGAAAAATGTCTGTTCTAATCATGTCATTTGCATGTATATTTTTTCATATACATGAAATTTGCAAATATTTTCTTCAATTCCATGGTTTTCAGCTGGGTTTTAGTTAGAACAAGAAGGTGAAGGTCCAGCTCAGAAAGCAGGTTGAGGATACCGGAGATTTTGCTGAGGACAGATTGAGAGCTCCACTGGAAAGGGGATATTTTCACGTGGGGGGTTGCTCATGATAAGAATTATGTCAGTTCAAGAGATGTACAGGGTAATATGGGGATTAGTGATGGGTGATGAGGGATCGTTTGGAAGCCTGTTGGCTATGACTGAAAACCTTGATGCCAGACACAGTGGTACTCATGGTCTTGGGGGCTTCTGGGAGAGGAGGTTCATTCATTCTCCCAGTTCATCTGAATCTCCTTCTCAGCCTTGGTCTATAAGGCAGCTGGTTGCTCCACACATCTACTAGGGTGTCCCCAGAGCATGCAAAATTCTTGGGACTTCTTTAAATCCCACTGAGAGCTGAATTAGGACCAGGATGGGCAAATTTTGCAAACAACAACAAGCATGTGGACCTCTAGAATGTTGGTTTTTAAAGTTTTATCCCCAGACAAGCAGCAGCAGCAGCATCTCCTAAGAACTTGTTAGAAATGCAGATTCTCAGGCCCCATAAGCCCTACTGGATCAGGAACTCCAGGACCAGGCTCAGCCTTGTGGGTTTTAACAAGGACAACCCACAAGCCTCATGTTTACTAAGATCTGAGACCCCCGTTCTAAAGGGAGTCAACAAACACTAGTTTAAATATGTAGCCATTGACCTTGTCCTTATAAGCCAAAATCACAGAGCATTAAAGATGAAAAGACTTGATTTCAAGTGTCTAATCTGGCCTTGAACCTTATATGGTGAAAGATCCAAGTCTCTGAGAAGGAGTGTGACTTGTCCAAGCCCTCCTGGCAGGACTGAGCCAGCCAACTCCAAGTAACAGCATACTCAGAGCTTGGGAAATGGTTGTCTTGATCCGCCACACAGTTGCAGACTTTCTATTTAAAAACAAATCAAAACAAAAAAACCAAACCCAAACCAACCAAACACACACACACACACACACACAGGCAAAAAACCCTCAAAGATAGAAGATAGATCGATAAATCAATAATAGATATTGTGTTTTCTGTCCTCTAGTCTGAACATGGTCTGCCTTACGCCAAACCACTGTTTTTAAAGTTTATTTTTTTTTATTTTTTTTTTATTTTTGGGGTTGCAGTGGCGCAGGTTCCTAAGACTGTTCCTAAGACAGTCCCTGAAGAATGCATCAGTCTTCCCAGGAACCGGAGGCTTTTTGGCAGCCCGATTCAATCTTCCTACGCTGAAGTTCTGTTCTGACTTTTGCCATTTCTAATTCCCTGCGCCTCCGGGGAGAGGCGGACAGCCGAACTCTGCGCGCACTGAAGCCCCGGCTCCTTCTGCTTCTGGAAAGGAGATTTAGCCTTAATTTTTGTGACAGATGGAGTTGATAGTCTCTCCACGGAAAGGGGAGGAAAAAAGCGCCAGTTTTTGACAGGCCGCAGAAGCCCGGTGCCTCTGGTGGTCGAAGGCTGCGTTGCGCCACAGTTAAGGTAGTTTGCAAACTTCCGCGCCTGGATGGCTTGGGCGGCTCTAACCCGGGCGCTTCCCTTAACCGAGGGAGGGATGGAAGCGCACACACTTTAATAGAAACCTTGGTGCGTGCCAATTTATCCCCTTCCTTTATGTTCTGACTGCGGCCATATGGTGCTGCTCAACATTCCTAAAGATTTTTAATACTATAATTATTTTTTCATCGCCGTCCGAGTTAGAGACTTTTATTCCAAAGAAATTGATCTGGTTGATTTGGATTTCTGTCTTGCAGTTGACAATGACGCCCGACGCAAGAGCCATACCTGCCTGAGCCGCCAAGTAGGATCATGTGTTGGGATGGGGGCGTTGTAAATATCTCATCTACGTCCCCTAACTGAAGTGTGTGCCTCTTTCTTGTGTGCGTTTGGGCTTTGTTTTGTTTTTCATAAGCTTTAAAGCTCAACATTAAATACTCTGATCCCCCCAACACGCACACACACACACACACACACACACACACAGCCCCCAACCGTAATCAGGTCCCAAACATAGGAAACTAGAAAAAAAAAACTGAATTCTGAACGCAGTCGAAGGCGCAGATGGGAGTCAAGGAGAAGTAATAAAACTATTTAAAAAAAAAAAAAAAAGGAGAGGAAAAAAGAACCCAGCAAAAAGGCCTGTGGCCGAGCCGGATGCAAACAGCTGCTCCTGAGCCCTTGCCCGCTGGTTCTGAGCGCGAGCCGGGCTCCATATCCGAGCCTCCTTAAGAGTAGGAGGAGCTCCCGGGCCTCTGTCAGGCTCCTTAAGCCGTTCCTTTCAAGCCCTGAATGCCTGAATGTGAGCTGCCCACCACCCTCCCCGCCCTCCCCCACTCCGCAACCCCACTCCACCCCCGCGGCCCGTGAAAAAAAAAAAAAAAAAAAAAAAAGTTTCAACAACAACAGGCAGGACCAATAGCATCTCGAAAAGCCGGGAAAGGGGGCCGAGCAAAGGGCGAAAGAGAGTGGAGAAAGGAGAAAGCGGGCAGGCTCGGAGCGCGCGGGGCCGGAGCTCGGCGAGCTGGAGGAGCGTTGCTAATGTTTTTGTTTGTTTGCTTTTCCATGCATGCATAATGAGGGGGCACCGCGGCACCACGCGGGGGCTCCCGGCCCACTTTTGTATTTAAAGCCTCGCAATCAGCGAGTCCGCAGCCGGGCTCAGCGGATCCGCTCCCCGGGCCCCTTGTCACCCGAGAAGCCGCCGCCGAGGGAAGCCCGGGAGCCGCTCCCCGGCCGCGCCGAGTTTCTTGTTCTCCCCGCGCCGCCCGGAAAGGGCTCCACGGAGCTCAGCGAGGCCGGGGTCGCCGCGGGCGGAGGGGGAGGGGACGCGGGCGTCCGGGCCCCGGGAAGGCGGGCAGCGCTCCGACTCAAGCCAGGAAGCGGCGCGATGCGAGAGCCCGCGGCGGCGGCGTTGGCGGCGGCGGCACGGCGCTGAGCCCGGGAGGAAGGAGCCGCCGCGGCCGCACAACGGATCTGCAGGCGCGGAGCAAAATGCACCCGCGGCGCCGCGCGGTCCTGCAGCCCCGCCGCGGCCCCGCGGCCCGCAGCCCCCCGGGGCGGCAGTGAGCGCCTCCCGCCACAGCCGGGGCCGACCGGAGGGGCTCTCTGCGGCTGTGCATTTCTGGAAAGCCACCGCAGCCCTAGCGAGCGGGCAGCCAGACCTTCTGCAAGCAGCGCGGCACCAGTGAGCGGCGGGCATGGATTTATGAAAACACTCATGCAAGAAGTTGGCAGGACTGGGGCAAACTTTTCCACCGGCTCCGCGTCCACCGCTGCCCGCGCCTCGTCTCCTTTACCCTCCTCGCCCGGCGGCCGCCGCTGCCCGCGATGGTGGCAGGGCTGCTGGGCGGCGGCGGCGGGGTCCGCGCGGGGACCGTGCCGGGCGTCTGGCTGTGCCTGATGGCGCTGCTGCAGCTGCTGAGCTCCGCGCCGCGGGGCTCGGGGCTGGCGCACGGCCGCCGCCTCATCTGCTGGCAGGCGCTGCTGCAGTGCCAGGGGGAGCCGGAGTGCAGCTACGCCTACAACCAGTACGCCGAGGCGTGCGCGCCGGTGCTGGCGCAGCGCGGCGGGGGCGACACGCCGGGGACCGCCGCCGCCGCCGCCTTCCCGGCCTCGGCCGCCTCGTTCTCGTCGCGCTGGCGCTGCCCGAGCCACTGCATCTCGGCGCTCATTCAGCTCAACCACACGCGCCGCGGGCCCGCCCTGGAGGACTGTGACTGCGCGCAGGACGAGAACTGCAAGTCCACCAAGCGCGCCATTGAGCCGTGCCTGCCCCGGACGAGCAGCGGCGGCTCGGGCGGCCCGGGCGCGGGCGGGGTCATGGGCTGCACCGAGGCCCGGCGGCGCTGCGATCGCGACAGCCGCTGCAACCTGGCCCTCAGCCGCTACCTGACCTACTGCGGCAAGCTCTTCAACGGGCTGCGCTGCACCGACGAGTGCCGCACGGTCATCGAGGACATGCTGGCCGTGCCTAAGGCGGCGCTGCTCAACGACTGCGTGTGCGACGGCCTGGAGCGGCCCATCTGCGAGTCGGTCAAGGAGAACATGGCCCGCCTGTGCTTCGGGGCCGAACTGGGCAACGGCCCAGGCAGCAGCGGCTCGGACGGGGGCCTGGACGACTACTACGACGAGGACTACGACGACGAGCAGCGCGGCGGCGGCGCGGGCGGCGAGCAGCTGCTGGATGACGACGACGGCGTCCCGCACCCGCCGCGCCCGGGCGGCGGCGCTGCAGCAGCGGGAGGCCGCGGGGACCTGCCTTACGGTCCCGGGCGCAGGAGCAGCGGCGGCGGCCGCTCGGCGCCCGGAGGCGCCTGGACCCCGCTGGCCTCCATCTTGCTGCTGCTGCTGCTCCCGCTGCTCTTTTAGCCCCCGCGCCCCCCGCCGTAGGCTGCGGGAGGGCCCGCGCCGAAGCACCTGTGGATGGGGGACAGTGGGGATGGTTGGGATACTTTCTAAAACGTGTTCCGAGTAGACTCTGCCTAGCGGGTCTCCCCTTCACGACTCTTGGCACTTCCCCGTGTCCTCTCCCGAACATGACTTCTTGGACATCCTCCCCTGCCCCCATTCCAAGCTCCAGAAACTCTCAGCTCGTCTGCCCTGCAGAAGCTGGCCTAGCTAGAGTTTAGGATGCCTGGGATGAAATGGGCGGGGGTACGGAACCATAGCCTCGGACTCGGAAGAGAGGATACCGACCTGTGGGATCCTAACAGTTTCAAGGGAGTAGGCTTGGAGCGGGAGTATGAGAGGGGATTTACATTTGCAAAAGTGGCTGTTTATTAGCATTTTTGCTGTGCATGGGGAGGGGTAGGGGGGGCGGCGTGGGGGGAGGGCAGTACCGGTGTCGACTTTTATTGTGGCCAGTGAGGACATTGCAATCGTGAGTAAACAGAAACGTCCCACTTACCGATTCTTGTGTTTACTCTTGGTCAGCGCTCAGAATTCTCCATTTGGGCGGGGGAGGAGGCATGGGAAGGGGTTAATATGCCTGACTTAGTTTTGGGTAACTTTGAGCCCTTGACCTTAATTTCATTGCCACCACTCTGATCTCTTAGCCCATTTCTTAGGATTAAGGGTCAAAAAATGCTGATCTAAAGAGTTGCTAGTGGTGTTGAACAATGCAACTTTTTATGTAAAAGAGCTCTGTACTGCCATCTATGAAAGCCTCTTTATGATGTTTGTCTTGTCATTTTTGTTCTTTCATCAAGAAATTGTATGTACAGATATGCGGAGAAAATATATCGCCTCTGCTTTTATCAGGGTGCTAAACCCTGGTACTTCTATATAAAGTGTATTAAAACTGGGATTTGTTACCAGTTGCTGTACTTTGTGTATAGAATTTTTATAAAGTGTATGCTTCAGAAATAATTTATTTTTAAAAAGAAATTAAAATTTTAAATCTGCAACCACGTTACACTTTTCCTCTCTGAAATGTATAGAATCTGTTTGTCACCAGGGGATCCAAACCCACAGTCCATTGTGAAGTGTGCTCTATCTAGAACAGTCTTAAAATGTACAGTGTATTTTATAGATTTGAAGTTAACATTGTTATTTTCAAGAGAATTTATGGACATTGTAGAAATGTATAAATGCATTTCCAAACTGCCTTAAACATTGTATTTTTATAGACATCCTTTTTTTAAAAAAGTCTTATGTTTTAAGTAACTATGGCTTTGTGTATTTTTTGTTATTTGTTTTATTAAAATGTGTACATCAGTAAAGAGTTTTTAAATAATGAATATGGTGTAGTTACTTTCCAGAGTTACATTGTGGTTTACCCAATAATGGGTAAGGAGGGGCATGGAGGGGCCACTGGGAATCTATCAACCATCAACTGAAATTAAAATACAGTACAAGACAAGAAATGAGGGCTATTATTTCTGCCTCTAATTTAATGAACCATTAGACATGTGTAAATGAGGCAGCTAAAAAGACATAACCCTCTGGCCTGCACTGGTTTTTACGTTTGTGGAGAGAACTCACAAAATTTGTGTCTTCCTACATAATTGGGGATAACCCAGAGGTCTCTCTCCCCTCCCCCCCCCTTTTCCAAGGGGAGACCCCAAGCCCCTCCTCCAGAAGTGTCCTGTCTGGCTTATAGACATTCTCCTACAATCAAACATGCCAATAACATCTGTTACCAATAGATCTTGGGAAACCTGGCACACCGCTTCAAAGTCATTTTCACACTTCGGGTGAAAAAGTACAAAATTTTGTTACAAAACATTCAGGCGGGCAAAAGTAAACACACTGGGGAGAGGAACAATCACCAGAACTTGTAATATTGTTGTGAGGAGTTGTTTAGCAGTGGGCTGAAGGCTGGGTTCCTGCCAGAGCTACTGATCTACACTCAAACGCCCTTAGATAAATAATTACACTCTTAAGCTGTGTCGAGTGCTGATACACTTGACCTTGTAAATAGAAATGTTTGCAGTAGGAATAAACTCCGGCATTGGAAAATCTTTTAAACATTAACACAAAAGAGAGCGCTCTGTCCTCTGGGGATTTGAGTCTGAACCTCGCCAAGCTAGGCACTTGCAAGAGGGAAAAAAAGTTTATTTATCTTCTATTCCTGGTGTTTATTTAAAGCTTTTCATTTTAAACGCGGTGATTGGAAGGCGAGTCAGGAGTTTAAAAGTCACCACAAATAAACTTTGTCTGAGGGGTCGACAGATTAGCAAGATCTCATGTCCTTTATATGATATTAACATGTACTGAGAAAACATAACCACATTTCTCTGCTGCCTGAAGTAATTAACAAAGCCATGCCCCCTTCCAACTTCCTCCCCCCACCACTCCCACCCCCGACTTTTCAGGTTTCTTTTGCCTCTAACTGGCTCTTTTCCCGGCTTTTATGCAGGGCTTCGAGGCACTTCTTGTTGGATCTAAAACCAAGACTGGTATACGTGTAGCATCAGAAAGTCTGAGACAGTTGTAGTGTCAGTCGAGGCTAGGAGGGTGGTGTGTGGCTTCAGTCCGCAGTCACCTGAATGGTTGAGTAAACATATTGTTGAAACAAAGCTGAAAGCGTTGTTTCTTTGGGAAGTGAACAAAGAGTATTCCAAGAGACTTGTAAATGAAATCAGCACTCTTTACAAACCTCCCGTTAGCAATGCTCCTGCGTTTGTCCTTAAATATATTTAAATCATCTCCATCTCCTGTTATTTTAACACATTCTTGACTAAAAGTGAAGTCTTTGTCCCAGTAAAAGGCCCAGTTTTCCCCAGTAAGAAGTAAAAGGCATTAGCACTAGAAAAGGCCTGATAATTAACTGGTACAATAAACTCACGACTTGATTTTACAGGGTTCTGTCAAAAGCATCTGCCTGGGATAAATCAACACAGCTCGCTGTTGGGGAGAGAGGACATGAGGCTTTATGCTTTCTTCCTTGAAGAAAGTGAACACTGATCGGTGGCTCATTTTAATTTAAACAGTTCTAAACCGGAGCCCAGGAGCCCCCTGGTCCCTCTACAGACCTAGAGGATGCCAGAACAGGTTGCTGAGTTGTTGGAACCTTCGGTTATGGGATGGTAGGTTACCATCTGCTCCTAAGCAGAAAGAATTTTTACAGATGTTGACATCTGTAATATCTCACGCTCTCTGGGGAAACTTTTGGAATTTTGGACATTTGAGACAGCCAGATGTCTCACGGAGAATGCCTGGAAGTACCATTACTGAGAGAAAGGGCATCTCTGGCTTTTCCCGGGGATTCTCGAAAAGGGCCATGCTTCTCAGAAGGCTTCCAGGGTGCAAGGAACTCCTTTAGGATGTCGTGAAAAATCATGTGGCCTTGAGGCTGGTCCCATTTCCCCCATTAGCAGGTTTGCATTCTCAGTGACAGTTTATTTGTCTTTGGAAGCACTTCAGTGACAAATGTTTAAGGGAGTGTGGGACAATGGTGGAGAACAAGGAGGCAGTTCATTGAACTGACAGTGACCATACAGTAAATAGAAGGAGGTTCAGGCTTCACTGCTCACCCAAGCACACAGCAACGCTTTTGTTTATGACCACAATGGACATAACATAAGGTCTCTGTTTATTTTTAACAATATATAGCAATGTACGCCAGCCATACACGTATGTGAGGGGGAAAAATGGCTGCAGGGAACTAAATTCTTCTACTAAGTAGCAGGACATCCCTGTGCTTAGGCAGGCCCCCCACAAACATCCGTAAGTGAGGGATCAGCTCCTGGTGCCAACTGCCACAGACTTAAGGGGCCATCACGCTCTGACTCATCTGGGGTGCACTGCAGCTCTCCCAGTGGGACCCCCCCCACCCTGCCCCGCCATGGGTGAAGACACAACTCAGAACCAGTCCCATCTCTCTCAAAGAGTCAAGAGAAACCACACGGAGTGGGGTGCCCTTCTTCCTCACTTCTGCACTCAAACCCCTACTCCATCCCAGCAGTGCCATGTCCTATAGAATAAAAAGAGAGAATTGCTTGGAGAACTTCCACAGACATCAAACTGTATACTAAAATCCTTTCTACTTTCAAACTCTGGTTTTGAATCATCAGCTTACTGGGTTCAACTGTGCAAGTTCTCATATAACCCCGCATATCTCTTTTCCAACCGGTAAAAAGAAAAGTGCATGTTATTGACACTAAAGGAGCATCCAAAACGAAGTCAGTTGACCCCATTTCTCCCAGCTCCCCGAAGTAGGCTGGTTGGGAGGCAGCCTGTTGCAAATGTCTTCCAAGCCTGAGTGCAGTTCTGGGAGGGCTGGGTTTCCAGCGGCTCTGGCAGCCTTGTGAGTTAAGTAAAGCTGGACGATACTGTATTCTCTTTGAGGGATTGTCTCTGCTGGACAGTTGAAAAGGTTCACCTTTGATGATCTGAAGGACATAAGTAATGTGCTATTAGCAGAAATACCTTCTAATGCATCCATTTAATCAATTTCTTAAATAACAGAATGATCTACTACAAAATAGTGGACTGTATACACTATATTTTGGCACAAAGATGGTCATTCTCCCACTAGTAACCAGGGGCTCTAAATAAATGATTTCAACAATGTTTTATTAAAGGCCGACAAGAGCCCTCGAGCTGCATTAATCGGGGAGAAGTCGAGTGGCACTTTTGTCATGGAAATGTTAAGCACATAATAGCACTGCCAGACAATGTGCAGCCACTTCATTCTTCCAGCCATGCTGACACGTCTTAAAGAGGAACTGCAGGGAAGGATGTGGGAAAGATTTGCTTTCTGAGGAAGCTTTCAGCTAATATTTCGGAGGGCTACCTCCAAACCCGGCGTAATATGCGTGCAAAGGAAGCCAGAGGGGTGGCTGAGATCCTCAAACAGTTTCCTTCCCTTATTTCGGGGGCTTGGGTTCCATAGAAAAATCGAATGCCTGCATTTTTTGGACATGGCATTTGTCAAAACAATATGTTGATGATTTTTGTCGAGCTACGTATGAGTCCGCTTTTACAAAGAGGATCAAAGACTCCGGTGACTCTCAGTCATATTAAGATACTGAATCGGTGCTTTGGTTGAGTCTTTCTTAAGCAAAGAGTTCATGGTCAGGTCTGCAAACAGGTGAATGAGGTGATGTCATCAAGGACATCTTCAATCTGTACCCCAAAATAGAACATTATCGGTGTCCAGACTTTATAGACACACTTATGTTCTCTGGGTATCTATATATATCTTTACAAGTTTTATTTCTATACTTGGTTTTTTTTTTTTTTTAAGTTCTATAGGGTATCTGTGGGTTCTTGGGTACCAGAAGTGAATACTATTTCATGACCAAATCATATTGTATATTTTATCACTGATCAGATGTTGTTAAGCACCAGAATAAAACATTTCGGTGAGATTTTTGAGGACTGTCTCATAGATATGTCTTTTATGAAAATGCCAGTCATCCGACCTTCAGTTTAAACTTGTGAAACTCATACCTGCCGGGCAATGGCACTTATTAGGAGCTCCATAGCAAACATTGCAAGATTTGATGACTAGAACTAATGTCTATAATCCCGAACAGGTGAGGGGAGGGAGGCAGGAACAAAAAGAGGTCACTGTGGCTCCAAGGGCATGTACCGATGGTCTATTCCATGTGGTGGTACCCGTGTAAATATGGCATAGTCTTGTCCCTGGACCAGTGGCAGTCAGGATGGGGAGACAGACACACACAGACTTTGAGCGGTGGTGAGCACAGAGGACGATGATAGAATGACTTAGCTCAACACTCGGTTTAAGGAAAGTTTCTTGGGGAAGGTGACACGGAAGCTATGTCTGAAGGCAGGATTGGAAGGTAGCAAGGAGAAGGGCGGGCAAACGTTTCCGCCCGAGGAACCGCGTAGAGGAATGGAAGCGCACAGTGTGTGTGCTTGCCCACGTGCTGACTATCTGTGAACGTCAAAGCGTAAAACAGGAAGTAGCAAGAATGAGGCTTGGAAGAGGGGTTAATACCAGGTCACAGAAGCCACGAATGACGTGCTAAGCAATGACTTTACTATGTGCAGTGGACATGATGGGAAGCCTCTGGGAATTCCCAGCTGACACCTGCAGAATTTCACGTTCCCGAGCAGGGTACACAATGGTTTTAAATGAAGACCAGGGGTGGCCTGGATGGCTCAGTGGGTTAAGCATCTGCCTTCTGTTCAGGTCATGATCCCAGAGTCCTGGAGCCCCATGTCATGCTCCCCCCAGCTGAATAGGGAGTCTTCTTTTCTGTCTCCTTTTGCCCCTCCTCCTTCTCATGTTCTCTCTCTCTCTCTGGTTCACTCTCTCTCTCTC